CTATTTATTTCAGAATCCCCTTCTCCTCCCCCATTTCTGAAGAAGGGTCTAGGCTCGAAACATTAGCTTTCCTGCTCCTCTGATGCTGCCTGGCCTTCTGTGTTCATCCAGCTCTACACCTTGTTATCTTAGATTCTCCAGCATCTGTAGTTCCTACTATCTCAGGAACAGAAAGAAAGTTTGAGGCAAAAGGGCATTGATAGAAACTAGGAAAACCGGGTCCAGTAGATGTCAGTAGAGGGTGAAATGTGCACAGGGCAATCCCAGAGGGCACACCCGCAGATGCCAGTGTGTGGGGCCTGGCAAAACCATGGGCCAACTCCTCTGCCTGACTAAATATGCACAGCCTACCTGGAACCGTGGAGCTGGGATTCTCCTCGGAGAAATATCAAGTGTAGAACTTGTCTACAATAAATGGACTTTAGAATTGCAAAGAGATAAAGGAGAAGTGATACCATTTAGAAACATGAACTCCACAAAGCTGCACGGCTTATCAAGCTTGTCCTTTCTAAGGCACTGATTCATTGCGACCTCTGACCTGCCAGGCTATGACCGAGAGGAGTCAGCACCTTACCTGTATAGAGAGTGCCATTAATCTCAATCGACATATTAATGCTGCTGATACCATTTGTTGACAAGTTCAATGCAAGTTCCTGTTGATCATCTGGAAGGGAACACAAGGGGTGTGGACGGAAGGTTGGGGTGTGGGGTTTGGCGTGAGGTCAGGGAGAAAGCAGAGACACAAGGATTGAGTGGGTACGTCACATGAGGTTTTGGCCACGATGGAACGGCAAACATCCTTTAACGTGACAGAAGCGAAAAATGCAATTGGAAAAGAACCGCGCAATGATCTTTTTAACATGTGAATGTCAAAATGCTTTCTGGCCAATGAGTGCCAGTGTGAAGCAATCAAGAGTGGTTCGATGGGGATGCCCCATCCACTACCAGAAACATTCACTCCCACCCCCCACCACGGCAGCAGTGCCTACCATCCACAAGATAAAGGCAAGGTTGTAGAGTCTCACCAGACCATATGGCTGCTTTCTCATTAGAGAGGTTGAGAAGGAGATCCATAGAGATGTACAGCCCGAAAACAGACCCTTCGGTCTGACTCGTCCATACCAACCAGACAGCCTAAATTCATCTAGTCCCATTTGCCCCATATCCCTCTGAAACCTTCCTACTCATGTACCCGTCCAGATGCCTTTGAAATGTTGTAATTGCACCAGCCTCCACCACTTCCTGTAGCAGCTCATTCCATACATGCACCACCCTCTGCGTGAAAAAGTTGCCCTTTTAAATCTTTACCCTCTCACCTTAAACCTATGCTCTCTAGCTTTGGACTCCCCTACCCTGGGGAAAAGACCTTGGCTATTCACCCTATCCTTCATGGTAATCTCAGCTGAGAATATTGAACCCATACTGTTGGTATCACTCTGTGTTGAAAAACAACCGTTCAGCCAACTGAGCTATATGATGGGAGCTGGAAGGAGGGACAAATCCTTACAAAAGGAAATCAGAGGGGCACTTGTGAGAAATACACTTGAAGGTTGATGGGGGTGATGGAGAAGTGGGAATGGGACTGACTGGGATAACAAGGTGTAGAGCTGGATGAACACACCCCTTCAGAAGGGTCCAGACCCGAAATGTCAGCTTTCCTGCTCCTCTGATGCTGTCCGGCCTGCTGTGTTCATCCAGCTCCATACCTTGTTATCTCTGACTCCAGCAGTGGCAGCTCCTACAACCCCATGGGACTGACTGGGTCAGTTTATGCAGAACTGACATGAACTCGAAAGGCCAAATATCTGTCTCTCTACAGCCTTGTTGTGTAAACTTGTCAGGTAGCCAGCAGAGCCTGTACAGCAAGTTCAAAAAGGGGTTAGCTGGATTTGTTTTAAACGACCATTCTTAACGTGGCAAAAACTTTGAGGAAGGTTACCGCACACCATGTGACCCCCAGCCAAATAGAAATGTGCGTTAGGGTGGGTTTTAAAGAGGAGAAGTAAAGAGAATTCTAGAGCTTAGGGCCCAGCTATATGATGGCATGACTGTAAAGAGCGGTGCTATTGCAATTCAGGATGTGAACGAGAACAGTAATAAAGGGATGCACAGGTCTGGGACAGTCTTTTAAAAAAATTGATTCACAGAATGTGGGCATCACTGGCAAAAGGGCAGTTTAAGAGTGGATTTCCAACCCCCCCACGACAATCAATTCATTAGACTTAATTTCAGATTTTTATTAGACTCAAATAACACCATCTGCCATGGTGGGATTTGAACCCGGGTCCCCAGAACATGATCCAGGGCACAGGGATTAACAGTCCAGTGAGAATACTGCTGCATCATTGCCTCCCCTAAGGGGTTTGTAGGGTTGGATGAGATTACAGAGGCAGAGAGGGTTAATGTAGAAGGCTGTAGATACAAGGATGAATGTGTTCACCATACCATGGTCCCTGTGCTTTTACCCCACCCAGTCCCCAGCCATACCCCTGCCTCTGTTCCATCTGCCCTCAGTATCCAGCAATCACTCTCTCATACCAACAGACTTCTCAGCTAGCCTTCCTCCCCACTCTGCTCCCACTGGACATTTGAAATTGTCTATTTGCTTTAAATTCTCATTGATCAAAGAGATGATGCAGCACAGAACGAGGCCGTTTGGCCCACTGAGCCTGTTCTGGCTCTTTGGAACAATCCACCCTGATGATGAAAGAGCTGGAAAGCCTCAGGCTGTGGACAAAGCGTAAGTAAATGGAGCTGAAAACCTACCATGCTCACTGGCCGTCACCATTCTGAGGAGAGAGTGTAGCCGTTAAAAACCCGTGTGTCAGAGAGAACAGCGACTGTAAGGCAACAGCTCAACAACTATCTGCTCTTATCCACTTTATGCTCAATCACACAACCAACTGTCACTGAGATGATATCTATCACAATCAAAACCCAACTCCTTTATCTCTGAAACACAACATGTTCATAAAGATTACGTGTTCCTTAAATTACTGACTCCCTCCTTTCACCACTCTGGTGCTTTCTCCTCCCTCCCACGACCTGTATGGGGCTGTTCCCTCGAGGCTCTCTATTGGAGATTATCATGCACCTTTATCCTGTTCAGATATTCTTTCTTTTTCACTGTCCTCTATATGTTTCTTGCTCTTGTGAGCTTCCTCCCTCTCCCATGGTCTCAGCATTTCCATCCATGTTTCCTCGCTGGCATCTAGCCCCTCCCTCTCTCTCTCTCTCTCTCTCTCTGCCCCCCTTGTAATGACTTTCTATTTCTCTCTCTCAATGTCTCTCTCTCTCTCTCTCACTATTCTCTTTTCTTCCACTGACATCTTCCTCTTTTCCTCTTTCTCATACTCAATGCCATCTCTATCTCCCCCTGAACATTTCTTTCTCCCTCTCTTTCTCAGTCGTGTACTCTATCTATCCATCACTCTCTCTCTACCTCACTCCCACAGACACTGATACACAAACACACAACCACATAAATACACACACATGACACATGTACAGAAGAACATGTAGAGACACATATACAGGGTCACACAAAGGACATACACAGACACTGGAGCCCACAGACACGTAAGCACAGAGAGATACATGCACACACACACACACACACAGACAAACAGAAGCACAAATAGACACAAAAGCACAGAGGCACACAACCTATTGCCGTGACTCCAGCTCTCTAGAGAAGCCTCTGCTCTCCACGTCTGCACCACTTGAATTGATGCCTGCTCTGTCAGGGTGCTTTTTGGGGACCACGGCCCACCATCCTGTTCCTGCTCGCTGTACAGTGACCCCCCCCCACCCCCCGCCAGCGGTTAAAGGGATGTTAACAAAGTACAGGCATCATCAGCTCAGCATTATGGCCCAGCCTGATTTCAACCAACTCTCAGCGAAGTTGCTAATCTTGTTGGATGAGCTGGGGCAGTGAGGAAATGGCCCCACTTCCTGGAGAGCTTGCTGGTGGTCACTGTCAAAGTTGACTTGAGGTCTTGGGCTGAGCTACTTTCAGTTTGGGGTTTAGAGAAGGATTGTATCAATAACAATCATCACTGAAGATAAAACTCTGTATACAGCCAAGTGAAAGCAGTGATAGAGGGAGGGAAAATATTTTGGGATGGGGGTGGCCATAACTCAATTTTGGTGAAGGGTTGGGGGATGATGGATCACGAATCACAAACCATCTTTCAGAAGGGTCATTTAATCCAGGTCCGGTCTCCAATAGCAACAGACTGCTGATGGTTTGACCTCCATTTAGAACTACACACCCCTCACCTCCCAAAGATGCTCGTGCTGGAACACCCAGATTGACATTGGCATGTTCTCTGGTGGGTTATTGGTAAGGCCAGCATTTGTTGCTCAGCCCTAATTGAGCTGAGAGGCTTGCTGGACCATTCCAGGGAGCATTTAAGAGTCAATGGCATGGCTGTGGGTCTGCAGTCACATGTAGGCCTGACCTGGGTAAGGACAGCAGATTTCCTTCCCTAAAACGCTAATAAAGTGGTCTGTTTCACAACCATCAACGATAGTTTACCAAAAATAGCTTTCAACTCCAGACTTTTATTCATTGAGTTTTAATTCCCATCAGCTGCCATGGTGGGATTTGAACTTGTGTTCCCAGAACGGGGCATCTGGTTTACCTCTGGAGTCAATGCTGTTACCACTGCGCCACCATCACTCCCTCTGCGCCGGGCACCTCAGATCCAGGCCTCACCTTTCCCGTTGATCTTGATGCTCATAGGCACGTGGGTTGCCATGGCGAAGAGGTTCTGCTGCAAGGCCTGCTGCATCAGACGCTGCTGCCCCTCCGCGAATCTGGCCATCCTCTTCTCGGGAGGCTCCCCGCTCTCCAGCTTCTCCCTCAGCTGCTCTAGAGTGACAGACTGCGCCGTGGAATGGTTACCCGCCTGGGACAACGGCACATGGATCCGGCTCGGGGTCAAAGAGCAGGCTGCGGCCGTGTCCTCTGAAGGAAAACGTGAGAGTGGTTAATAAAGCATATAGTGTCCTACACTTAGCTATCAGGGACAGAGTACAAGGGCAAAGATCCTAACGAGAAAACAGTTAAAAACATAATGTCCTAGACCTAGCCATCAGGGACACTGAGTACAAGAGCAAATTAGCAGGCACAATAAATTGAGAATGAATTGAGTGTATCCATTTCTGTTCCTGTTCCTGTTCCCACCCCATATGGCTCAGTACCATTTAGAATCAACTCACTATCAACCCTAAATCTTCCACTCTGACTGGTTCATTCCCACTCGGGATCCTCCAGTCTGAATGGCCTCCTTCTGGAGCTTTGAAATTCAACTTACGGATGTTAGAACTGGATGATATCTGTCCCAGTTCACAACATGTCCCCGCCCCGTGTTGTACCCTGGTCCTTGAGCTGCTTTCCAAATGGCAAACATCCAAATGAGTATCCACCACTTACATACAATTGAACAGAATTTAGCAAATCGCCATCGAGGTCAGCAGTAATCCCTCAACTGTTAAATAATTCTAAATCAGGGCATTCAAGGTTACTTTCCACCCGGCAGAGAAAGCGAGGAGGAGATTTAATAGAATACTTCAAAATCATGAATGATTCAGGTGCAGTAAGTCCTTGTTTTCAATGGCTCAAGGTTGGATAGCCTGAGGGAACAGATTTAAGGTGTATTGTGATGACACGGGGTAAACTGTTTCATGCAGTGAGCTGTCCTGATAAAGAGTGACACTAGCAGAGCCCATTGTGGCTTCCAGACAGGGGGTCGGGTCAATACTGGAAGGAAGTAAAATCCAAGAATAATGGGAAAGAGCAGGAGCCATGGTTCAAGCTGGATTGCTGTGCAGAAGAGCCAACACAGATTTGATGGACTGAATGGCCTGCTGCTGCGCACTATCCTGTTTTCATAAACAAGTTTAATGGACAATTCCTGTTCTGTTACAGACTTCTGTCTCAGGGAGGTATGGACCAATGTATTCCATCAGATAAGAAAGGTCTAAGAGAGCGAAAGATAAATCGGAAGTAAAAGGTGGGGATTACGGGGATTATCAGGAAGATCAAAGAAACGTACAGCTGTAAATGAACTGCAAGTCCTTTCCAAACCCACTTGGACGAGGATTAAAAAAAATGCTCACAGCAGGAACCAAAACAGAGAGAAAGTCAGGGGGATTTTCGCCGAGGGGGGTAACTCATGAGATTGCTGGATGTTTGCTCCACGGGGCGGGGTGCGTGGGTGGGTGGGGCAGTACACTTCCAGCACTCTTGGACAATTTCCACCCAGCTATCCAGACATTGGAAACTCAGATGAAGGGGGGGCCCAGGACAGCCGTACTCTCTGCCTCCCAGCTCCCTCCCGGCCCCGGCCAACTGTGTCTGCTCCCTGCATCAGGCAGTCTGCTGATATGCCCCTGGGAGCGGGCTTGGAACCTGTGGCAAATGGTGAATCCTACCCCATCACACATCCTCTGTTCCTACTCCTAGCCTGCCCCTACTCACACTCCCAAACCCATGTGGCTCAGTACCTCCTAGAATTCACTAGTCTGATTGACTCATAATCACTTGTAA